TTAAAACATCACTTTGTACACCTTAAATACATTCAGTTTTGCTCATCTTATCTTAGTAATAAGGGTATATGGAAATAACATGAAAGAAAACATGGAATTGGGGAAAAGATCAATGTATGTTAGTTATTTACAGAAGGTCTGGATGGCTGGAGTACCAGATGTGAAGAAAGTAATGGGCAGTAGTGGGAGAAGAAAGCATGGTTGAAGCATGGTGATCTTTGGAGTTTTGCCAACAAATTTGGCTTCTACATCTCTGCAGCCCTAGCTTCTTACAGTGCCTGATAAAAACACATATTCAATAAATGTTAATTGTTGTTAAGACCAAACCAGAAGATAAAAAAACCTCCATTGCTGGGAAAATTCTAACTAATAAAAATGAAATTTAAGACAAAACTTTTTTTTCTCATTAACTTTTATGCTCCAGAGGATACCATCATGAAAGTCAAAAGACAGTTCAACTGAATAGAGAAAGTATTTTTCAAATCATATATCTGATAAGGGACTTCCATTTGAAATATATTTTAAAAAGCCTTACAACTTAGTAATATAAACGAAAACCTAATTAAAAATGCACTATGGATCTGAGTAGACATTTCTGTAAAAATCATATACAATTGGTCAATAAGCACATGAAATGATGTTCAACATTACTAACTTGGGAAATGCAAATCAAAACCATTTTGATATATCACATCCCATCACTAGGATGGCAAATTAAAAAACAAAAAACTAGGTAATCTTAATTGTGACCAAAATGTAAATGAAGAAATTGAAACTCCTATACTGCTGGTGAAATTATAAAACTGTAGCACCTTTGGAAAATAGTCTGGCAGTTCCTGAAAAGATTTAACATAGATTACTATGTAAGTCAGCATTTCCATTCCTAGGTATGTACAGGAGAGATGAAGGCATATGTACGCACAGAAATTTGTACAGGAATGTTCATAGCAGCGTGATTCATAATAGCCAAAAAGTGGACAATCCAAGTGTCCATCAGTGGATAAATGGATATGGTCTATGTATACAGTGGAATATTATTTGGTGGTAAAAAGAAATGCTGTATTGATGCATACTACAACATGAATGAACCTTGAGAATATTGAAAGTAGGGGCGCCTGAGTGGCCTCTGTTGGTTAAGTGTCTGACTTAGGCTCGGGTCGTGATCTCACTGTTCGTGAGTTCAAGCCCTGCATTGAGTTCTCTCTGGTCAGCACAGAGTCTGCTTCAGATCCTCTGTTTTCCTTTCTCTTTGAGTTTCTCTCTCTCTCTCTCTCTCTCTCTCTCTCTCTCTCTCTCTCTCTCTCAAATAAACATTTAAAAAAACAATAAATGAACCCAGTCTCAAACCTTAAAAAAAAAAGAAAGAAAATATTCAAAGTGACAGAAGCCAGTCACAAAAGACCACATATTGTATGATTCCATTTATATGAAAAATCCAGAATAGGTAAATCTATATAGAGAAGGCATATCAGTGGTTGGGGCAGTATTGGGATGACTGCTAATGGTTAGGGTTTTTTGGGAGTAGGTGATGAAAATGTTCTAAAACTGATTATGATAATGGTTTTACAACTGTGTGAATATACTAAAAATCATTTAATTGTACACTTTAAATAGGTGAATTATATGGTATATGAATTATGTCTCAATAAACGTATTAACAAAAAATTCACCACCACAACAAAAATAGAAATATAACCAGGCCTTTGTGGTTGTCTTGGTCGAGCCTCTTTAAACTTAAGATACTTCACTTTCTCCACCATCCTTCTTGCCTCCCATTTTTATGGTAGTTTGTGGAAGAGCTCAGTTGAGTATCTCACATTCTTAATTTTTCTGCATCCTTCTTTTTGGTATTATGTAACTTGTGTGGCAGAAATGCTTTATAGGTAATTCTGTGTACTCTATCTTGCCTACATATGTGTAGTCTCATTTGAAAGATTTCACTCTGAAAAAAATCACTTTGATGATGATGATGATGATGATACTTCTCTTCCTTCTCCTCCCACTCTTCCCCACTTGGGGCTGGAACTCACAATCCCAAGATCAAGGGTCACATGCTCTACCAACTCAGCCAGCCACGTGCCCCAAATCACTTTGATTCTTTACCAATTTTAAATCTCATATTAAAATATAGGGGGAAGGGGATTAAGTATAGAAGATTTTACTGGAATTATGGCCTTAAGATAGTGAATAGTTATTAAATTCCATTTACCCATAAACATACAGTTTAGACATTTCTCCTTGAGGTGTCTAATTTTTTAAATTTGCTTGAAATTTCATTCCAGAAAATAATAACTAAGACTAGTAGGAAACCAGTGAAGATCTTTAAGGAGAAAATAGCATCAGATTTATGCTTTTGAAGATCCTTCACTGCAGTGAAGGCTCCAGAGCAGATGCTGGAGAACAGTTAGGAAAGTCTTAAGTAGTTCAGATGAATTAAGACAGTAATTTGCATTAGAATCATGGTTATGGAATTAGAAGTAGACTGTTGAGAAAATATTTAGGAGGTAAAACAGATGAGACTTCGTAATGGATCTAGTATATAAGTTGAGGTGTCTAGTTGGTTCCCAGGTTTCTGACTTTTGCAACTGGATGAATGTCAGTAGCATTCTCTCAAAATAGGAAATATTGGAGTACATCTGGGTTTGAGCCTCCTTAATCTGGTAAGTTCTGGACAAGCTGAGTTTGAGATACCAAAATGGATGTGTCTGATAGACATCAATATAAGGGACCAGAGCTCAACACAAAGAGGAGTCTGTGCTAGATATGTAAATATGGGAGTCATTAGTTTGTATGGGCTAATTAGTCTGTGTTGGCTAATACTGAATTTGAGGAATGCCAACATTTAATGACCAAGTGAGTGAAGATGAACCAGCCAGAAAGACTGATAGTGACTAGAGAAGTAGAAGGAAAACTAGGAGAAATTGGTGTCACAGAAGCCAATGAGTATTTCCAAAGGAGGAAGTAGTCAGTAGTGCCTGGATGGTACTGTGAAAGGCTACATATGTCCTTCCAAACTCGTATGTTTATTTTCTGTACCTATTGATCATATCTGTGGTCTAATTACATATGACTTTGTATCCTAGCTTTTATTGTTTTTACTTAATTATTAATATTTTTCTTGTTTATAATCTTTAGTCCACAGAGTGGATATACACTTTTTTTTTTTAATATGAAATTTATTGTCAAATTGGTTTCCATACAACACCCAGTGCTTATCCCAACAGGTGCCCTCCTCAATGCCCATGATCCACTTTCCCCTCCCTCTCACCCCCCATCAACCCTCAATTTATTCTCAGGATTTAAGAGTCTCTTATGTTTTGGCTCCCTCCCTCTCTAACCTTTTTTTTTCCCCTTCCTCTCTGCCGTGGTCTTCTGTTAAGTTTCTCAGGATCCACATAAGAGTGAAAACATATGGTATCTGTCTTTCTCTGTATGACTTATTTCACTTAGCATAACACTCTCCAGTTCCATCCACGTTGCTACAAAAGGCCATATTTCATTCTTTCTCATTGCCACGTTGTATTCCATTGTATATATAAAGCACAATTCCTTTATCTATTCATCAGTTGATGGACATTTAAGCTCATTCCATAATTTGGCTATTGTTGAAAGTGCTGCTATAAACATTGGGGCACAAGTGCCCCTATGCATCAGCACTCCTGTATTCCTTGGGTAAATACCTAGCAGTGCTATTGCTGAGTCATAGGGTAGATCAGTTTTTAATTTTTTGAGGAACCTCCACACTGTTTTCCAGAGCGGCTCCTCCAGTTTGCATTCCCACCACCAGTGCAAGAGGGTTCCCGTTTCTCCACATCCTCGCCAGCATCTGTAGTCTCCTGATTTGTTCATTTTAGTCACTCTGACTGGCATGAGGTGGTATCTGAGTGTGGTTTTGATTTGTATTTTCCTGATGGGGAGCGACGTTGAGCATCTTTTCATGTGCCTGTTGGCCATCCGGATGTCTTCTTTAGAGAAGTGTCTATTCATGTCTTCTGCCCATTTCTTCACTGGATTATTTGTTTTTTGGGTGTGGAGTTCGAGTTAACCATTTCCCTATTGCTAAGTAATTAAGATACTTCTACATTTTTGAAGCACCTCATATGCTTTAGAAGGGGTGTATTTTAGGTGTTTTTCTTAGGCTACTATACCAGAAGTAGGATTCCATCAAAGGCTTAGAATATATCTTTGTGGTCTTGACATTTTCTAGCAAAATAACATATTTTTGAAGCAGTGTTCATAGACATCTTTAAAAAATTTTTTTTAATATTTTTATTTTTGAGAGACAGAGACAGAGCACTAGTGGGGGAGGGGCAGAGAGAGAGAGGGAGGCACAGAACCAGAAGTAGGCTCTAGGCTCTGAGCTGTCAGCACAGAGCTTGATGCAGGGCTTGAACTCACGAACCATGAGATCATGACCTGGGCCAAGGTAGGATGCTTAACCAGCTGAGCCACCCAGATGCCCCATAGACATCTTTTTTAAACATTTGATTATTTTTACAAATTGACTTTATTAATTATTATTATTTATGCAAGTCGCACCTGTTAAGAGGAAAGTATTACCCCAATTGCTAAAATTTTATAGTATTTTTAAAAAATATTCTTTCATATATCTTTTTCAATGTGAACCATAAATGGCATCATATTACACTTGTTTTTTTGTAATCTGCTTTTATCATCTAAATAAAATAACAGATTCCATTATAATTTTTAGTGGTTACATGTGTATCTTAAAATTACTTAATCTTTTAAAGTCCAGATAATATGTTTGTATAGGTTCATCTCATTTAAAATCTTAGTGTACTGCTGCTGGGTTAAGGGGTATATGTATTTAAGTTTTCAAATATATATTTCTACATGTGTTGCTTATGGTTTCAAAGTGAGGGTTTTTGTTAGAGAACTCTTTTTCTTTTGAAAAAGGATAATTTTTGGAAAATTGTGGTATTTGATTTCATACATCTAAAATTACTGTGCTTTTTTATCTTCCATCATTTTATCTTTAGCTTTTGCCTGTGATTACAGAGCAGTTACAGTGGATGCCATTTGTGAATGCCAAACTTCATCAGCCTTTTGTAAAATTTATATATTGGTCTCTAAGGCAGCTAGATGCTGGAACACAGGTAATTGATTAATAGTCTATGTTTTTTAATTATTTTTCTTGATCTTGTTCTTTTACAGGTTTTTTGTTCTGTTTACATTTCAGAACTTTTTGCCTTCTCTGCTTTATTTATTACTTTCTCTTTATCCTTTTATAAATACTGTTTTTCAGTGCCGTAGGTTTTAATCAATATGTAAAATTGTTTTTTGAGTTTCAAAATTATATAATAAGTGTCACTGTTCGGTTATTGTTAAAACCTACTGCCCCCTCCCCACTATATTTTATAATATTTCATATTTTACTGAAGGTAATAAAAATGTAAGATTTCTTGTGTTTATGCCAATAAGTACATATTAGCTAAATTAGATAATAATATTTATAATAGCCTAATCAGAGCAAAAAAATTATTCTAGCATATTATAAAATGAATGCTATATGTTATCTGTTCATATAAGGTTCATTCAATTTAAATTATGTCATGCATATGTAATCATTTGTGCTATGAGCTGTATTAGGTTTGTAAAATTTTATTTCCCTAATTAGTATTGATAAATGCTGTTATAGCTTTCATTTACTTAAAGGAGAAAAATGAATTTGTGCTTGGGTAGTGTAATCTTGGTCCTATGGAATTATAGAAGCACATAGCTAAATCACTCAGTGTGGTACTTATGATTAAGTAGTATTAATTGAGTCACGTGATTATTATGTAGTATGATGATTAAGGTTAAGCAAAAATATCTTTCATGAGGTGGTATTCCATATATTTTGCCTCTGTGTTGCACAAGTAAACACAGGAGCATAAATGCACACATGTGCTTGCACACCCCCTAGCCCCATGGAATATCATTTTTAATTTATTAGTCTTAACTACATTTCTCACTAAACAAAGTTCTATTGATTATCAGATCTTGTAATGTTGCTATCTTCTTTTTAAAATTTTATTTTGCTGTTTGTATAATGGTTTCTGCATGCTCTCAGCCACAAAAGGCTAGGCTCAGAAATTGAATGAAATCTTACTTTATCTTCCTTACAAATATTCTTCTCATTTTCCTTCAGATAATTTATAGCTTATTTTTATCTACAAATATATACTCTGCACCCTACTCTGTGTGCTATTCTAGACAGATACTAGCCTGCATCTATGTTTCTAATGAAAAGTAGCATTCTTGCCACGGTCCTGTTTCTTTATTCAGCATTGATGGATTTCTAATATTTCAGTTTTAACAGTTGTCTGATTGCAAATACTTTTTCATTCTTTTTAATGTTTATTTTTAAGTTTTAAAAATGTTTGTTTATTTGTGAGAGTGAGAGAGACAGAATGTGTGCAGGGGAGGGGCAGAGAGAGAGGGAGACACAGAACTGGAAGTGGGTCCAGGCTCTGAGTTCATGTACTTTTTAAAAATTAAGCTTTTTATTTTGACATAATAGTAGATTCACTCAGTAATAACAACTACTACAGAGAAATCACTTGTGTCCCTAACCCACTTTCCCCCAATGGTAACATCTTGAAAAACTAGTACAATATCACAGCCACAATTGATAGTAGTCAAAATAGTAGGAGTTCTATATCACCATAGAGATTCTTCATGTTGCTTTTTTTATGTATGTGTATGTGTGTGTGTGTGTGTGTGTGTGTGTGTGTGTATAAATATTTGGGTTCACAGTAAAATTGAGCACAGAAATTCCCCATATACTCCCTGACCCCACATATGTACTGCTTACCACACTATCAGCTTCCTGCAACAGAATTTGTTACAAATTGTTACAATTTGTTACACTTGATGAACCTATCTTGGTATGTCCTTCCACTCCAAGTCCATACCTTACATTAGAGTTCACTTTGGTGTTTTACATTCTCTGAGTTTTGACAAAAATATAATGGCATATGACCATCATTTACAGAATAATTTGATACTAAAAATAGTTTTCCCTAAAATTCCTCTGTGCTCTGCCTATTTATACTTCCCTCACCCCTAATTCCTGCAGACCACTAATCCTTTTACTCTTTGCTTTTTACATAATGTCATAGCTTTGCCCTTTACAGAATATCATATAGTTATTCTGTATGTCGCCTTTTCAAATTGGCTTCTTTCACTTAGCAGTATGTATTTAAGATTCCTCCATGTCTTTTCTTGGTTTGATAGCTCATTTCTTTCAGTGATGAGTAACACTCCGTTGTCTGTATGTACCACGGTTTATCCATTCACCTACTGAAGGATCTCTTGATTGCTTCCAAGTTTTGGCACGTATGAATAATATAAACATCCATGTGCAGGATTTGTGTGACATTAATTTTCAATTCCTTTGGGTAAATACCAAGGAGCACAATTGTTAGATAGATATGGTAAGAGTATGTTTAATTTTTTTGAAAAACTGTAAGCTGCCTTCCAAAGTGGCTATATCATTTTGCATTTTACCAGCAGTGAATGAGAGTTTCTGTTGCTCCACATCCTCATCAACATTTGGTGTTGTCAGTGTTTTGGGTTTTGGCTGTTCTAATTGGTGTAGAGTCAAGTCTCCTTTTAATTTGCAATTCCCTAATGGCATACTGTTGGGCATCTTTTCATATGCTGATTTGCCATCTGTATATCTTCTCTGGTGAGGTTTCCAGGTTCTTTTGCCCATTTTTTAAATTGGGTTTTTTTACAATAGCGTTTTTAGAATTCTTTCTAAATTTTGGATAACAGTTCTTTATCAGATGTGTCTTTGCAGATATTTTCTCCTCCCAATCTGTTTCTCATTTCTCATTCTCTTGACAGAGTGGTTTTTAATTTTAATGAAGTCCAATTTCTCAGTTATTTTTTGTGCATCATGCCTTTAGTGTGGTATCTAAAAAGTATTTATTGTATCTAGCATCTTACACACTCATGGCGAATTGACCCCTTTATTATTGTGTAATGCCTTTCTTTCCCTGGTAACTTTCCTTGCTCTGAGGTCTCTTTTGTCTGAAATTAATATAGTTATTCCAGCTAGCTTTTGATTAGTGTTTGCATGGTATATCTTTCTATCCATTTACTTTCAATCTGTATTTGTCTTTATATTTAAAGTGGGTTTCTTAAAAAATAAAAAATAAAAAAAATAAAGTGGGTTTCTTGTCGACAATGTGGGTCTTGTATTTTGATTTAGTCTGATAATCTCTTTTAATTGGTATATTTTGACTATTGATATTGAAAGTGATTATTGATATTGTTGGATTAATATCTACCATAGTTGTCACTGTTTTTTATTTATTGACAATTATTCTTTGTTCCTGTTTTGTTCTGTCAGTCTTTTCCTGCCTTTTGTGGTTTTAATTGGACCTTTTATATGCTTCTAACTTTCCCTTCTTTCTTAGCCTTCAGTTGTACTTCTTTTTTTACATTTTTTAGTGGTTGCCCTGACTTTGCAATATACACTTAGAACTACTCTAAATCCACTTTCAAATTACACTATACAGCTTTACATGTAGTGTGAGTATCTTATAATACAGTAGACTCACCTTACCTGCGATTTCAGTTACCCATGGTAAACCAAAGTCTGGAAGCAGATGATCCTCCTTCTGAAGTATTGTCAAAGGTCAGTAATAGTCTAATACTAAGTAGTGTTACAATGTCTATATCATTTACCTCACTTTGTCTCATCCTGTAGACATTTTAGCATCTACAGTATTACCATAAGGGTGAGTACAGTACAAATAAGATATTTTGAGAGAGAGAGAGAGGCCACACTCATACAACTTTTATTATGGCATGTTGTTATAATCTGTTTTATTATTGTTAACCTCTTACTGTGCATAACTTATAAATTAAACTTTATCGTAGGTATGTATGTATAGGAAAAGATGCAGTATATAAAAGGTTTGTTACTGTCCATGGTTTCGGATATCCACTGTGGTCTTGGAACACATGTCCCGTGATAAGGGGGGACTACTATAACAAAATACTGCTGATGTCTTCCTCCTGTCTCTTATTCCCTTGTATAATTCCTGTCATTCATTTCATTACACATTAACCTACATAAACGTATATATCTATATCTACGTCTATGATACAATGATCAATAATACAATTGTGTATACACACATACACACACAGGCACACATGCACATGCTCACAGACACACAGGCATCCATAATCCAACACATTGTTTTCAAAAAACTTATCTGTTAGATCAGTTAATAACAAATAAAAGCACTTATTCCTTCTCTAATGCTCTTTATGTACATCCAGGTTTCTAAGCTATATAATTTTCCTTGTCTCTAAATAACTTTTATTAATATTACTTTCAGTAACAGAATCCCTCAATTTTTGTTGGTGTGAGAAAATCTTTATTTTTCCTTTATTTTTGATAGATAATTTCAGAGTATGTAGATAATTTCAGAGTATGGTGGGGTTTTTTCCTCAGCATTTTAAACATTTCATTGTATTTTCTTCATGCTTACATGGTTTTTGAGGAGACTTTGGATGTAATTCTTATCTTTGCTTCTCTGTAAATAACTTTTTTTCTTTTTTGGCTTCTATCAAGATTTTTAAAAAAAGCTTTTATTTTCTGAAGTTTGAATATGATATGCCTTAATGCATTTTTGTGTGTGTGGTATTTATCCTCTTAGGTGTTCTCTGAGCTTCCTGGTTTTGTGGGGTTTGTTTCTTGTGTTAATTTGGAGGAAATTCTGTCATTACTGCTCCATATATATATATATATCTTTTTTTTTATTTTTTATTTTTATATTTTTTTTTTTTTGAGAGTGTGTGAGTGAGTGAGGGGCAGAGGAAGAATCCCAGGAAGTGCAGAGAGAGAGGAGACAGTGCAGAGCCCAGAGCAGGGCTCAAGGTCACCAGAAGCAGGGCTCAAGGTCACCCAATGTGGGGTTCAAACTCACAAGTCGTGAGATCATGACCTGAGCCCAAGTGGGATGCTTCACCAGCTGAGCCACCTAGGATCCCCACTTCAAATATTTATTTTATTCCTTTGTTTATTTTCCTTCTGGTATTTTCATTACCCATGTGTTGCACCTTTTGTAATTGTCTCATAATTTTTGGATAT